TGCTTATCAGGAGACAATGAATAATGCCTAGTTGTAACATAATAATTCGAGACCAAACCACATTTGGCAAATTTTTTAACTAGTGAAGGTATTAATTTATTAGATCAATATATTATTAGCTAGTAGTTATCTGAATATGAATTTGTACCTTCTACTTCTTATTTGTCGTAGTTTTCTACAGTATTTACCTATTCGACTTTGGCTACCTTCACTTTTTGCTGTTTATTTATTAACACTTTTCTACTAACACTAAAATGAATTGTATAATCTTTGACTTTTAAGAACTCCGCCAAGACATGGGCAAATTGACTGAGTTGATCACATGCCACAAGTATGAGGACTACTTTTATTTATTCCGTATTTATATTTGCTTAATTATTAACTAAGTGAATTTCTATCATAGATAAAATAAATTTGATGGGGTTGTTTCAAGGGTGAAGTTAATATTGTTTTATGCAACGCTACTAAAACAGGCGCGTATAATCTGTTCCCACCAACTGAGGTTGTATCATTTCCATTAATCGAAAGCATGAATATACCATCTATTGAAATTATAGTGAGTATCTACATCAAGTCTAGACATCTTCTCGAGGTCGGCTTTGTCTAAAAGATCTTTCCATTTTGACGCTTTTTGATTTGTTAATAACAACAATATCAGTTTCAAAGACAACAACAATGTAAAAATTAATAATAATAGCAATGTAATAATCTTGATTTTCTCATCTAGAACATGTCTACATTCAAATATTTTAACCAAAAAGTGTAGTTTTGAAATGGTAGTAATTATGAAGCAGCAATTGCGATTTTAATTCTTATATAACTAAGAGTCCAGAAGAAGACTTATAGTAATCAACAATAAAATTAAAAAGAGGATAGTTTTCATTGTTTGTTAGTTTGCATTGAATACTTTGAATAAGCTCCGAAATGGACCAAAAAAAGAAATAAAAAAGTACTATTAAAAGACTACATAATCCCTGATAGAGATGCAATATATAGATAGATGTAATATGAATATCTTGAAAAAATTGATGAGAGTAGCTCGGTGGCGTAGTGGATAAGCGCCGCGGCACGCGATCGTTGTCGTTAAGCAACTTTCGCAATTGGTGACCAAAAAATTATTATCTCGAGCTACTCCGTGCTTCAGAAGGCAGGTTAAGCTGTTGGTCCCGGCTGCATTTGTAGTCGTTAATACCCTCCAATCCGCATTGAGCCAGCGTGGAGGGTCATGGCCCATCCTCCTTAACCATCTATAAAGAAGGCCTGAGTCCCTACAGTGGGGACGTATAAGGGCTGGTGATGATGATGATGATGATTTATCGATTGTTGGTGCACTATTAAACATATAAAGTAAATAAAACTAGATAAAGTAATACTATTGATTAGGTAGCAATTTCTGTTCTACTATTATTATAATACCTTTAGGGGACGTATCAGTGTAACTTTCGAGAAAACGATACTATAAAATAACACCGTCTTTAAACCAATTCTAAATAGTGTTTTTTTGTTTTTATTATCAAAGTAATTTCATATTTCTAAATTTTCCGTTCCGATTCGTTTTCGTTTCCTAGGGTCAAAGCAAGTTTCAATTTTCTAAACACGGTCTGGGTTTACGATCAATAAAACCTTACGGTGGGCTTGTGATTAAGCCAATTACCCTTATTGGATGGATGTAATTCTATTTACCTTATTTCAATTGGGGTTTTTGCTCCGGAAGATTGATAGGTAATTTCTTTTGATCTTTGTTTCTTGATCATGGTTTTTGTTATTCTAAGTTCAAATAACGTTGTCTACCTTTCCATTTTCTTCTTTCTCTTTAGAACATTTCTATTCTAGTACTGTAGAGTATTTTTATCAATTTTGCATTAACAATACTATACTGGGAAATATTCTTAATGAAACATGCTATAAAATCCATTTTGTCACTGGTACTCTGAGATGGGATTCGAACCTTTCGCAATCCGGGCGACTTCTCTACCAGTGGGTAGAGCAGTCGCCCGGGACCTACCCAGGACATAACATAACAGGACTGATGAATTTTTTAAGCACGTGTTATTTTTTCGCTACTACAGAACCTGAATCCCATCTCAGAGTACCAGTGACAAAATGGATTTTATAGCATTTTTCATTAATAATAATAATTGATTTGCTTATAAATGAGGTACATTGTAGATTGAAATACAATTTGAGTTCAGCCCATTTAGCCATCAGCGATAGTATGAAAATATTAAGAATTGTATAGTAGAAGTTGAATTAAATTAGTTATATCAACAAGCACTAAATGAAGAGATAGTTAAAAGCAACTAACGTTATTAAAAATGATGCGTGTTTTAAATACTTTCAAGTGCAGCCTAAATATGCGTGTAATTTGGTTGCTAAAAACAAACACATACCTACTGAAATTCGTTAGATATTTTTACGATAAAATGTACAAATTGAGTTTAATTGTCGCAGTCTAATTCCATGGAGATATTAACAATGCCTTTATAAAACACCAAACCATATAAGTACTGTCATCACTACATAACTTTACAGCAGATGTCTTGGAACATTAATTAATTGACGTTTATTTCTATGTATGTACAAATTATTAATTAAAATATGTATTTTAATTAATAATTTGCAATGTTTATCAGCTTAAATACGAAAATCCTATTCAGTAAGGCAATTCTATTTCCATCTTGTTCCATAATAGTTAAATAAATGTACAGTCATATCAATTTCGTAACTCCATTCCGTGTATAATTAGGAAACACCATCAAAGCAAGTGTTATTTAGAAACATTTGTACGTCAATATTTACACAGACGACATGCCACCCCCAAAGGGAACATTGTGAATTTCTATCTAATATCATTATTTTCCAGAGCCCTTAGGAATACTGTACACTTGTATAAAACAAACTCGGTAGGGATGAAATTAATTACACCAATTACTCTTGTTAAATCCCGGAATCTTTTCTTTCCATAGTTATAACGGGATTATGTTAGGTCTTTTTGCGGTCTCTAATTGTTTTCTCTTAACACCCTTAGGCCTGTAACAGACGACATTTTTTGTGCGATTCAGAACAAAGAGCTTAACTCGACATTCACTGTGTGCGGTTTTTTTGACATACAGTTAAAATTATAAAATAACTTAATAACAACTAATTGATTTTGAACAGAAAATACAATAAAAATTAACTGAAATTAAAAATAGGAAAACTACAACATATGTGTAAGTAATTGTAAAAAACTATCAAAATGTGAAGTTACGAAAGTTGCGCAGCAAAAATATAAATTTAGCTTTACAATTTTCTTTTTAATAAATTGTATTCTTTTTTTAAAGTTAATCTGAGAATACAGGGTGGCCGGACCATAATCCACCACCGAATCTATATTCATATTATAGGAGCAAACATTTGATTGGACTAGACCAGTTTATAAATTCTTACACCAATAGGAAGCTACATTATACGCGGGAGTATGGGCTATAATTTACGCGGCCGTACAGCTAAAAATAGTGAAGTAATATTTAACAATTCTAATTTTTTTTTATAATTTAAATTTAATTTCAACAAATGTATGCAATTATACAAACAAGCTAAAGCGATAGTATAAACCCAAATATTAGCCTCTGGCAAAACGTTAAGAACCTTAGTAAAAGCTTGCACCATCTCGTTTGCATTTGTGCGCGTTTTGGAGTAGATTTTTTTTTGAACGATGTTGATTGGTTTGATTTTGCAATTTCTTTTTTTACGTCTTGTATTTTTTATATACTATAATGATGAAAAAGAAAAAACAGATAAAACGTAATTATATAGCGTGTCGTCTGGTAGAAGCCTTATAGTGAAAATATTGGTAAAAGAAACTTATTAATGGCGAGCAAACTTTTTGTGGGTGCACCAAGTGTGTTTGATTGTTAATTAGATCAGTTAGTTCCTGATATTGCTTTTATTAATAAGGTTTCTTTGTGTGATCAATAAATAGATGATCCAATACTAAAAGAAGATAGCGAAAAACGTCGCATGCTTCAAATGTTTGCCCATGGCATGGATTTACTTTTTGACGTTTTTACCCGACTGCGCGACGCAAAGGAGGGTAATGTATGTGGCGTTCTAGAGACCAAATGTGTAGGCCGATTTTGATGATTCTTACGTCAATTGATTCGTCTTAGCCTTGCGAGTGTCACTAAAGGCATGAAAGTAATCAAAATTCAGCACAGCGACAACCAGACGCCATATAGTCAAAATGCAAAAAAAAAATCGATGAACTATGTCAAGTGGGGTATTGTTAAATAGGTATTTAAAAGTCTTTAGGTTCCTTTTATCATTTTTCATTTTAAATAATAGTTTAGGATATATAACGATTTAAAGTTGTTGAACAAACAATCATTCTCGCTAATATTCTTACTCATTGATTTAAGTTTTTATTTATATACATTCAACCTCCTCGGGGCCTCGACTGTGAGTCGTTTTGTTCTGTATTACTTAATCGAATTCTAAACTACTTGTTTCTTTCTTTTTAGTTTTTATTTAAGTTAACTTTTTCATGTATTTTTTAAAATTCGTTTTTACGCAGTCTGGTTTTTTGTTTTTCTTTTTCTAGATTGTTATTTGGTAGTAAATATCATGGTATTTTAACGTATTTATTTATAGAAGATTATAATAAGACTGTTCTATATAAATATTAACAGTAAACAAAAGAATCATCATCGTATCATTAACATTATTTATCTGCCTGACCTACAAGAAGTTCTTAGTTCAGGCACTTGGATTATTTTACACAATTTTGTTCATAAGTTTTTTAATAAAGAATTTACTATTATAAATTTAATCGAACTCTCATCTCATTTTAAACGTCATTGAAATCTATATCATGTTGGTAAACATGGTTAAGATTTAATTGTGTAGATGTGAGGAATGTCATTTGCGATTGGTATCGGAGATCTCTGGTTACTCAATCGGTCTTATCTTCAGCATTGAATTTAAACATTATTAATTGAAATCTTCTATTTTAGAATCACTTACGTGGTCGGTTCATCTAGGAATATGATCGGTGGGTTGTTGACTAGCTCCAGGGCGACTGATAGCCGTTTCGATTGGCCACCAGAGAGATGTTCGGACCGTGTATGCCTGTGCTCCCAAAGGCCAAGGGTTTGGAGAATCTCTTCTACCTGTTGAGAATACACAAATACTTAATTTTAAGCTGATTATAAGTTTACTAACGAAACGATTATACTTAACTTAATGATTCTTACTTAACAAGTATTATAAAAGTTTAAAAGCAATATACGATAGTTACCATTGTTACTATTTAATGTTACCTACCTACATATTATATAATATTGTTTCTACGGTTATCTGTAATATTGTAACAAATACCTATGACAGCTTTTTCTGTTTCCTTATCCTATACCTATCTACCAAATTGCAACTCGATGGCGTAGTGGATAAGCGCCGCAGCCCGCGATGGTTGTTGTTAAGTAACATTCATAAAGGTCGGTCACGGGATGGGTGACCAAATAATTATTATCTCGAGCCTGTTGCATTTGCATTCATTAACACCCTCCAATCCGCACTGGGCCAGCGTGGAGGATCATGACCCATCCTCCTTATCCATCCACACGGAAGGCCTGAGTCCCTACAGTGGGGACGTAAAAGGGCTGATGACGATAATATAATGAAACCAACTTTGGTGTTTATATTGTAAGATTCTTTGTTTATTGTGATTATATGTGTGATATTTACCTTTAACTTCACTCAAAATTCTGAGTCTGATTAATATGCAGAAGCATTCAAACAATATATTTGTTTTATAGCAAGTTTAAATTGTTTAGCAATTCAATTAGAGGTTATAGCGTTTGGTGGTATTCAATAATTGGTATTTACGAGCATATGGTACGCGTATAATCGAGTTTACTCGCCATATGTCCACAATTAATTTCATCCATTATTAACAAGCTGGCAGTATTAAACTTCTAGTCTTATATTAATCTAATAAGAAACTTATAACGGTTGTTTAGTTACACATAGCTTTATCCAAGTCATACGAATTTCAGTTAAAAACTATACAGCGCTTATAAATTGCTTTTATTTTAAGGCCTTATATATTTATCAAGTTAAATTGATCGTATCATTAATTGGTGTTATTCGCGCTTTTGTGATAACGATGTAATGGTGAATTAGAGTATTTTTTTTGAATTATGTTTTTACTGTATAGCTTACGAAAATCTGTAATATATTTTAATCGACTTTGAAATTTGGTTCAAATATTTTTAACGATTTCTTCGCGAAGTGTAGATTGATTCTCTAAATTCTCATCCGGAAGCATATGGGTGTGACGTGGTCCATAAATATTATTGAAATCAGGTTAGATTAGGATCAAGAGATTAACACCTAGCGTCGTCAACTTTGGTAGCTTTGACGTTTTGAAATAAAACGTATATTAATTGAAACAACTATCTCACAATGATTCTTGTTAAATTAATATAACTATTTGTAAAGCACACAGTTATATTTGCTTCGTAGAATAAGAATAATAATATTTTTATATTTAAAACTTACATTAACATTTTTTGTTAAAAGATTCATTTTTTAAATTCCGAAAATTGACTTAAAAATGGCGAATAATCTTATCACAAAGGCGTTCTATATGTTCAATCAACTTCTCATAAAGTCGGGAGGTTTTGTGTTCGTGGTTAAAATAACCATTAATTTAACCAATCTGAATATGTATATCTGTTTATGTTATATGTTTGAAAATTGATTATTCTGTAAGCTTCTTAAGGCCGTCCTTTGAATTTTCCGTATATGTATATGGATCAATGAATATCGGAGTAAGTACTTTAGCCTCGCATACGAAAAGCTTTGCATTGCAAAAATATTTATGTGATTTTACTGATGAAATTACATTCAAGCGTTTTTTTTTAAATTTAATATCAATGAAATAAATATTATTAAACTTTTTCCTTTTAAGAGGGTTGTTTATAACACATATTTATACCATCGAAGAGAAAAACAAAGATTTTGGTTTCATATGATTTTTGTTGCTAATGTAAAATTTTAACACATCACTAAAATTAATAAAATAGAAAGTTTTTAATATTTTCTTTTTTAAATTAACAAAATGTAGAGTAGTTTCCGTAGGAACGGCTGTTTATTGCATCAGCCCCTTCTGGTATATCCTTCGATGAGACTCAAAATGCTCTCAACGGCGTTCCCAATAATGTACTTCAGTAAGAGATTGGCCAGTATTAGTTCAATTACTGAGCAAGCTTTGTTATTTTCTACCTAGTTAATTCTTTGTGGAATATAATAAGGTTTGATCAGTAATATAAGGAGTTGAGTTTACCTTATGGTACCAATATAGGCTGATGAGTTGTTGAGAGCAAAGAAACAAAACAATGCTATGACAAATACCCGCAATATTTCAATTGCGTTAGATTTTACGGTTATACAGACAAATATCCTTAATTTGCAAATGTCCGGATATGAAATGAAAGGAAAGTACTTTACGAAATTTTATTTTTATATAGAATTAATTTTATAGATTTTCCATTACTTATTAAAATTAAACATATTATTAAGAATGACAAAACTGATATATAACGCAAAAGTGGAAGGATGCAGAAACCGAGGAAGGCCACGACACGCTTTTCCCGATCAAATTAATCCCGTGCTCTTAGAAGGTGATGTCAGAAGCCATAGAAAGCGGCGAGTAATGAAAAGTCTAATGAAAGTGGATAAGGCGAAAGATGTATGTAAGGACCGTACATCGTGTCGTTCGGTACTCTCTGCCTACATCGGCCAGGGGTTCAGCGTAAAGATATATATATATATATATTTATAAAAGCGAAACGTCATTCACTCAGCACGAAACGTCAGAATCTACAAGTGCTAGGAGTTTCAAATTTTGCATGCGGAGTCTTTTTAAGACGTAGGTGCTGACTAAGACGGGATTTTGTGAAATTCGACCCCTAAGGGAGTAAATTAGAGGATGAAAGTTTTTATGGGATTTTCTCATTTCTGGTCTTAAAACTAGATTACGCGGGCGAAGCCGCTGGCGGATATATAAATTTGAATATTATATTACTAATTAAATATAAATTTCGCTTCAACATTCATCTACTTTAATGGATAACATTTTATTTTGATATATTATCATAAATATGTCGGCAAGAAGGCGCTTCGATTGTGCGAAACGCTATCTGTCACCTGCAGCTGTCATCCGTCAAGATATATGGTGCTTTGCGAAACGTCAAGTTATGACATTGACGGCCGTCATCGCTTGGGAGTGGTCTATGCTTGTTCGAAGATGGCACTTTACATTGTGCGGCCATATTGAGCGGACGCAGGCGCAGAACTCTCCGCGTTTCGTATCGCAATCCGTTTGCATCGCGTTATTATTAATGTACTCCGATTAGATAATTAAGTAATTCAATTAAATAACTGATTTGTGATCTATATGCGATCTTATTTCGAAGGAATGTCTTGAACACTAATCAGATGGCGCATGATGACCAACCTAACTTTCCGCCGGCACCGCCTGACTTTCCGACAACTATATATTTTTTTGTAAAGTAATGAGTCCTATGACAATACAGTCACAAGTCTGGGATGTTGGCCAGTTCAGTGTCATATCCGTTATAAAATCATTCGCGTTTAACAAAGCCACTCATAACTTTTTTAATACTTACTATAAGTTCTTTCTCAGCACGGCCAAGTTTCTCTCCCAGCTTGAGATTAGCCGCTACCACCATCAGCTCCAGCACGGTGAGACGAGGCTGGAGCATGTCGTCTTGCATGATGTAGCTGCTTAGTTTCTTGAATACTCTCATGTCCCGGTGATGTCCGTTGACTGTTACCCTTCCGGTCACGCCATTTGACCTGTATAATAAATTATAGAGTTAACGATATAAGTCCGTAGTCAATTTTTTTAGCTATTATAGTTAAATATGTAATTTAGAAAGTGACAGTGAGAAATTATAATAAAACAATAGATCAATAAAGAAACCTTGTGTTTTGTTTAATGTCAGAATAAAAGTAGTGCAATTGAAGTTACATAGAATTATGTGTAGATCAGGTTCCTTCTTCATCTAAGCATCAGTGTCGTTTTTTATAGAAAAACCTTTTAATGGCAAGCATAGAGTGGGGTGGAAATGAGCTATTTGGTCAAAGCGGCGGGCGCACAATGAGACATGGATTTTCTCCAAAATAGGTTATCAAAAATTAATTACACCACTGTCATAATATCTAGAAATAGTAAAATATAACTTTAGTATTTCTTAATTCCAATAAAAAAAATGAATATAAATAAAAATATTTTGTTTCAAAACTAGAATGTTGTAAACATTTGTAATGGATTATTTCTTTTAGATATAATAAATATCTGTACCAAAAATAGTCTGCTCTTCCATGGTACATTTAATAATGGTTTTATTACAATAAAAAATTACAGTAATAAAAAATAATGCAATAAGATAATAGGAAACCAGGGTCACAGTAGTGTCAAGACGAGCCAAACGAAGCGAAAGGTCACTACTTTTAGTTTTGATTATACTAGATAAATAAAATTCTTGGGATATGATGCCGATAGCAGACTTATTAAATAAACAAAGTTTGCATAGCTCTCATAATTTAGATTTTATTGACACTGAATCACTACCCCATACTAGTTAGACAGTGGAAGACATATGGTCTGAGCTTGGAAACATTTTACATGAAAATATTTTTGTTGGGATGGGTTTCTCATACCGCACAATTCCACACCAATCCATTTCATTTTCTTGTTTCTACAAATCTCTGTTGCTATTTAACGGAGAATTTGCTCAAGAAAAGCAAGATTCTAAACATATTACGCAAAGAAAAGCTTTGCAAATACTAAAGCATTCCGTTGAAAACAGAATAAAGTATTATGCATTTCCCTCGTAAATTTAATATCCGCTAGTCTTACGTCTACGTCTAACAGTGCAAAGATAAATCATTTGCCTGTTTAACTTTGTTTATTGTAATATTATTTTCAATTAAGAAAATGAGACTTTCTAAGACATAAATATTCCGTAGTGCAGAAATCTAGTTCTGCATTCAAGTAATTATTATGATAATTATATTATCTATATTTACGAACATTAAACTAAAAGATCATAAAATAATAAACTATGTTAAACGTAAAAATAATAAAACACAATAAAAAATATGTTTTTTATATTCTTTATACAGTCAACAACATCTGATTGTGTTATCTCAAACCATAGGGTAGGCAGATTGGTGATCAGATTATAAAGGAAATATACTGGAATGGAACAAAAATTGGAAATAGCGTAGATAAAGTTTTTGAAATTCCTCGAACGGTGGACAATGTATTAATCATATTTCAGAGATCAAACTGTCTCTGGTACTCGGTTGACAGGACCGGACTTCCTTCGCGTCTTTACCTCTCTCATGTTAGGGGCTATTCATACGATACGAATTTTCTGGTGCGGATTGTCGTTATTTACCGTTATAGGAGAAGCCAAGGAAGTCCACGGCACACCTTTCACGATCAAATCAATCGCGTGCTGTTGGGTGATGTCAGAAACCATAAAAATCGGCGAGTATGTATGAAAAGAGGTATGAAAGTGGATGAGGCGAAAGATGTATGTAAGAACCGTATATAGTGGCATACGGTCCCCTGCCCACCCACCCATGGATAAGGCGCAAATATATTAGTGGAGATGTAGAGAGCTTGATGGCGTTGTAATTAGAAGGTTTAGTTTGCGATGTGGATGTTAAGCAATTTTTACAAAAGTCGGTTATAGAATGGGTAAACAAAAATTTATTGACTCAAGCTTCTCCGTGAATGTATTAGACCGACTACATCTGCAATTGTTAACACCCAACGGATTGGTAGGTTATACCCCGATCCTCTCTCAGAAATGGGGACATTGATAGTCTCGTGATGAAGACATTTCAGAAAATATATATTTTTTTAAACAGACCGGAAGAAATGTACGTGAGAGTACACCTTAAACTAGTTTTGCTTACATGTATCCTGCAAGTATGTTCAGTAGAGTGGTCTTGCCGGAACCGGACGGGCCGAGGATACAGGTCACTTCGCCGGACCGGAACTCGCCAGACACGTTGTGCAGTATTCGACGTTCGCCTGTTCAGGAAATTTAAGAAAATCTATAAGTATTGTTATCCGTATTGACCATGAAGTGTGTTTACGTAGTTGATTTTACCACTAGAAGTTCTAGTGGAAAGCGAGGTTTTCAAAATGTCAAATATCATTCTTGATTGGATTCTTTTTTTTAAATTTTGTGCTGACTTTGGGATAACTAAGATTAATTAAAGCAATTTTTTATGAAATAATTGTCAGCCTTTAAAATATTAAGCTAGTTGAAAGAACACTCAGGGGTTAGTTTTTATTGGGTATGCTCAATATGTTTTGATAAATTAATTAATTTATGTATAATTTAAGTTAACGGTCGTAGTAAGCGCCATCTGGTGAGCAAAAAATACGGTAGCCCTCGTTGATTAAAGGTTTTATGTAAAGCTTATCGTAGAAATTGAGCTGTTACTAGCTGGGTAACCTTCAACTATCTTGTAATGTTCCAACTACTTTTATTTACCTAATATTATATAAAGAGAATAAAATCGATTGATTGTTTAAATTGAAGTGATTTTTGAACCAATTATAAAAATTCTATAAGCTACATAGAAAGCCATATCATACACGAGATATTTAAATCTTACTTTTATGTTGATGAAATTTAATTGACATTTGATTAATATTATGATTATTATTGTAATTCCTTAATTGTTAAAATTTCTTCTGCATGCCAGTTTCTGGTAAATATGTCTGTTAACTAGAAAATAAATTGTAACATCTTGTACTTTCCATATTTATGCAGAAATAAATACTATATATATTATATATTATTATAGGCTATTATTAATGCAGGTGAAATCACGAGAAAACTGCTAGCTTTTTATCAATCTTTTAAGTTTTTGATATATTTTTTTAAGCATAGATTAATATTTAGATTAGCTGCACAGTAAAGCAATATAAGCTATTTCGTACAAGATTTATTTTATAATCTTTAGGCAGAACGGAAAATACCTGAGTAATAAAAAATATCTTTCGTTAAAGTGGTTACGTCAGTTCAGTCCAGTGTTACTACTAAAGTGACCCAGTAACTTTTTTCATACATAATATCCAATCTCATTTGAAATTCTAATGATTCAAAGTTATGGCCCTTGGATTAAATAAAAATTAACTTCTCGTAACTTGGTAGCACCGTATTTTATTATTCCGGGCTAAAAGTAGAAAAATTAATCGTCTGTTATTATGCTGTAATGAACTTTTGAAGAAAAACCTTATTTTATTTTTATCAAGTACTAAAGCTACACATGATATGGGTTATAAAATTCAATCGTAACGGACGATTCTTTTCCTAAAACAATGGAACGTGAGGTTTCCATACCATCACGAATATCGTCAACAAACAGACGAAGAGGTAAATTTTTAGAGCAGGGATTAAACTATTTCAGCGATGCTTGGAACATTTTTAGCGATGGATGGATAACCCTATGGAAAACCAACGTTTTGTTCAAATCTCTGGATTCAGTTACTTCTATAACAATTACAAGCTAATTAAAAGTTTCCATATATGTATATATTTACGTGGGTAAACTCGCAGGAAGAAAAAACAAGCGTGACACTCTTTGTAAGGTTTTCATGGGTAATGTGTGTAATGTTTTTGTTATTAACTTAATGTATTTTAAGCATTAAATATATAATAATTATTTTTCCATATAAACTTTAAATATATATGAAGAAGAGAGGTATGTGAGTTCTGCGCATTTTAGATCAGTATCACTATTGTTTTTCTATTTAATTAATATTATATATGTTGTAAGGAATATTTATAAACGTGTTTAATGATATTATTTATGTAATTCCCACAGCTAACGTCAGCTTGCAATTATCTTTATCCGTGCTAGCAATTACGCAATAAGCTATATTTCTTTGGCGACCTTCTAAAAATCTGTTTCGAAGTTATTTATTGTTATATATTGAGGAGGCGTCGAGGATAAGCGACGCGGCCCGCAATCGTTGTTGTTAAGCAACTTTCGTAAGGGTAGGTCACGGGATGGGTGACCAAAAAAAATTTTCTCGAACTAATTCGTGCTTTGGAGAGCACGTTAAGCCGTTGGTACCGGCTGCATTTGCAGTCGTTAATACCCTCCCTTGAGGTTATGGTGCGTCCTCCTTAACCATCACAACTTTCAACGCAGAACAAGACCTAAAAAATTAAAAAAGCTGTTAGACAATATAAGACATATTCAAAGAGTTACAAAAAGGTGAAAACACTAGCCAAGTTCTAGATACTTAATTTTATTAACGTGAATTTTATTAATATTGTCCAAGGGTAATAATTTAATTAAATAATTTAATATTTAGTAATAAGTATTCATACCGACTAGCTCTTAAGGCCATAATATATTCATATATTCGTTTAGATTGATAGGTACTTCAAGGAAAAATAAGTCATTTGAAACTATAATGGCTTCAATGAATTGAATGATTTTAGTGTAACAACTCTATATATACTATATTGTCACGCTGGCCCAATGAGGATAGGATAGGGTATTAACGACTGCAAATGCAGCTGGGACTAACGGTTAACGTGCCTTCCGAAGGACGGAGTAGCTCGATATAATAATTGTTTGTTCACCCATTCCGTTCCATTCACACAACGATTATCGACGCTTATCTCCTATGCTTTCAAGCTTCTCAAGATATATCAATAAAAATGCTAGAAATGTATTAAAATACTATATAGGTTTTAATGATAATATACTTTATTGCACTCACAATACAAGTAATAAATAATACAGCATGCGAGAAAACAATATACGAAAAGGTGGCCTTATTACTACATAGTAACATCTTATAAAATATATAAGATTCCTGTAATGTTCGATAAGGTTGGTACGTCTAACTGTTAATTATAAGAAAAACAACTCTTTATAATGATTGCGACTGCAATTCTAAGTACTTGTTAATGTTATTGAGAGAAGTGCCGACTTTATTATATATCATTAGAGCTGTAGGTAACAATTCGCTTAAGAATATAATTGGATAGCACAATAGTCACTTAGAAGGAAATATAATAACGTGCGAATAATAAAAGTGTGTCGGATCAAAAATATCTTTAATAGCTAACTATTAGGAGTTTATTTCAATGTCACTGAGGTGTCATAAATTAATATTAAAATTACGACATATTCTGGTAAATGATGGTTAAAGCATTGTAAAGACAGCGGTACAAATTGTTTGCGTTGATTAGTAATGTGAAAAGGAATGAAATGAAATGAAAATATCTTTATTCAAGTAAGCTTATTTACAAGCACTTTTGAATCGTCTAAAATTTTTTTCCCCCTACCACTTGTTCAGGACGTCTTTTAGCTGACAAGAAGAACAAGCAAAAGAAACTTACCAGGTCTTTATCACAAGTAATGAAATTTACATAAATCATGTCATTATCAAAATAGTATGTATTATCACAATAATGAATACAACTTTCAATCTAACGAGAGAATGTAACGAGAAGCGAGAAAAGATTGATATACATTATGAAAGAAAGAAAGGAGTAAATTTTGAGATGACAACTGATAGAGTAGTGTGAAATAAGGATATCCCAAATGTAAAAAATGCGACAACAGCAAGCAAATAATAAGGTGAAAGGAAAAGTAATTTGTAGTGCGAATAAAAATATTGTGTGTTAGTTTTCTTTCTCATCTCAAACAATATCAATTTAAAAAACAGTTAAAGAAAAAATTATATTTTGTATCAGACGCTTTAATAAAACTAGTTACAGATTGCTGTGAATGTTTGTAACGTTAAGACTTCAAGCTATATATTCGTGTTTTGTTATACCTAGTTTGCTGTAAAAACAAACAAAAAAAATTCTATGTTATCATTTATTATTTGTTAACCAGTGGCGTTTCTATTGTTATGACTCGGGGTCAATTCGCAAGACACTCAAGAGAGATTTTTAACTTAGATAATAGTACTGCGAAAGAAGTATCTTTCTAAAGGTTGAATAATTTGCATTTGCATCTGATAAGTGCAAAGATTCGAATCAATTAATACTTCATTTGGATCATCTAGATCATTGATTCTCAGATTGATTCAAGAGCAGAAAGTAAGTGCTTAGTCTTATTATAAATATATTTAAAATTATAATAAAATGATTCTTGTGCCAAGATAAAACATAATAACTCTATTTGAATATTTCAAAATAGAGTAACGATTTTCCTTCATATTTTGTTCAAGCGTACTTAATACTCAATTGCTAATTGAAATACATCATGTTATATAAATGTTACAACATATTATATGAATCAAATTATAGACCCTGTCGGGCACAGCAAAATTTTAGAGAAAGGAAGAAATAAAATAAGTAATTTGGTAACTTAGTAATCACAATACAAATAAAAACATAATTAAATGGTAAAGTTTAATAATATAGGTTTTAGTTTTTTTTAAATCACGTGTTACGATGTTTGTTTATAGCTCCAACATATTTCCAGCATAGCTCTCTGGCTTTGGCAAATGTAGAATCGTTTGATTGAAGTTTTTGCAAGACTTAGATACTTATTTTTAATTTGAGTAAACAAGGAAGTTATTTTACCACAGCTTTTATACTTAGTACCTAAGCTCGGTTAGCCTTGTTAAATAACTTTAAGCAAGCCTCGGCCCTTTTAGCTATGCGAAATTATACAGGCACGTTGGATCAGATTACACAAAATGTAAAAGCAGGTTAGGTATTGCAAGGAAGTGGAAACATGCAGAATGATACTTTGTTTGGAAACCTTGTTAAAAAACCATATATTTATCAAGATGTTTTTGTACAATAGTTTTTATGCCAAGACTTTTCAGCAGTAGGGTTTTATATTTTTATACCTATTTTATACATTTTTTTTTGCGAGCAGTACCTAGCTTGTTTATTTCTTACAACCAGATAATTATTCTGCAACTTTTATAATTTACTGTTTCCCCGAAATCCCGCTTTTGCAAATCAAAACTATTTTATTAAAGTCATGGTCAGAAAATGTTATCACATATAAATAGATAAGTAGACCAGGCAACGTAGGTAATTAAACAATATTCTTCACAACTCATATCAATTTATGTTCAGAAATTCGAATATAGATCTTATATTTATTATAGCAATTTTTATAAATATATTTTTTTTCTTCTTTATAATAGCACTTTTTTATAAACCGGCCTCTTGACAATGAAAAAAAAAGATTTTTTGTATAGGAGACGTTTGTAAAAGGAATTCGTATGTTTTCACTTGGAAAGCTATGCTCGATGTCAGAAGGACCATGTCGCAAATGCAAGCAGGTAGCTTAGGTAACATTTCCTGCAGTTAGAGCGGCGATGTGTGCTGAGCGACTTTGATGAAAGTATCAAGTGATAGGACGTAGTCCCGCGGGGTGTCACTAGAAAATGGAGCTTCTGAATAACTCGATAGGTTTATTTTCAAGAAAATTAGATAGGACTTTCGGAGGTATAACAATGTGTGTAAGTTAAGAACAGCTCTGTGGCGTAGTGAATAAGCATCGCGGCCCGCGATCGTTGTTGTTAAGCAACTTTCGTTCTGTCACGGGATGGGTGATCAAAAATCATTATATTGAGCTATTTCGTGCTTCGTGAGGCACGTTAAGTCGTTGGCCCTGGCTTCTTTTGCAATGGTTAATATCTTCCAACGAAAGTTTAAAATATTTGTAAAAAAAAAATTATAAAAATATTTCTTGAATATCCTGTGATATATAGCTCAGTGGTTAGAGCAGTCGTCCGGATTACCAAAAGTCGTGGGTTCAAGTCCCTTCTCAGAGTACCTGGGGTAAAGTGGATTTTATAAACCTTTTCATTAAAGCCTGGCTTATAGGCTACTCATAAGCCAGGCTTTAGAATTATCCGTATACCAAATTTCATTTAAATCCGTTTTTTGTGAAATAGTAATAAATATAATGCGTAGATCCATCCTTACAAATCTTCGTATCATAATTATAATTTATGATTATAATAGTAATTTGTTTTAGGAGTTCGTTTCGTTCATTAATTTTGTTCATTACATATGTGAGCTCCTACCCTGTTCCCTAATATGTAAAGAGTAATATTTTCAAGGATCATTAAGTTTAGCAAATATTTTTACCTTACTGCAAAAGTACATTTATTTTGTCAAAAAATGGTAATATTGTTATTCATTTTAGACAAGTAAAGTTACCTGAAAAACCAAATCCATTAATAATTACAATATAAGCGCTAAACATATCTCAAAATTACAACACAGCGCCATCTATTGATGATCAAAATAAATGAAATCACAATATTTAACTTTAGCTGATCCAGGATACGTTTGCCTCATCATATATGTCAATTAATTCTATATTAGAATTTGTCTTCTTCCATTAATCTTTCGGAGTTCCCCTGAATACTTTATTGGGATTATTATAAAAATTTAGTTTTAGCAGAATCAGTCTTATTGTTTTCAAGGAAGGTTCATTATTGTGTATATTTTTATGTCAGATACTTTGCGGGAAGGATGATGGCGGGGTAGGTTGTGTGAGTCGAGTATATTAACGTATTAATTAGTTGTAATTACCGATTGTGTATTATAATAATGATATTAAGAAAATACAATGAGTTTTTATTGGTTTAAATAAATTTGTTTATTTTGTTCAGTTTGTTCTTCGCGCAATTCACTAATTAGTTTCTCATCTGGAGCCCCTCCAAACAATTAATGCTTCTAAAACGTATAATATAATTTCGAATTCACAGGGAGGTAGGAGAATTAACAAAAGAGGCCTTGAAAACGTGTAATTATGTTAGCACTTTAGAATATTACATGTTTATTGTAACCTTTTATTTAATTTTCCGTGCAATGTTGGTCAAATTTTGCAAGTGAAATTTGGGCTACTTCGCGGTTCTCGATTGAGTTGAAATTCTGCAATGGAGTTGATATGATGATGGAGACGGAAGGTAGTGTTATCTTTGTAGATAATGTAGATGTATAAGTTTTTATATTTAAAATTAAATTTGAATATACTACATCCTTACAGGATGTTACATGAACTATGTATTATACTATGTCACATGTCATGAAAATGGTGTTTTTGTATTTAGAATAAGAATTACTCACATGGTATTGTTATTTCTTTACATATGTAGTTGGCAATGCAATCGTTTAAAGTTTTTATTGTAAGAAATGTGGTGATTCTGTTCATATTATACTCAATACAAGTAATCCATTTTGATTGTCAGTCAGATGGCGTTAGAATATTTTGTTTTGTTGTTTTTGATAAATTGAAATTTCCAGTACTTTTTGATTAATTTTAAACAACAAACCAATCTTTTTCAAATTTAAAATTGACATTGATTTTTTTTATATCGGTAACACTAAAAATATTAAATACCTATATAAAAATATGTTAACATAGTGAAAGTCTTAGGAAAGGAGATCTTGTTTATTTACTCGATATAACTTTGTCTAATACACAATAATAATCAATAATAACGTCTTTATTTGCAATAAATAGGGTTATATGTACAGTTATGATATTTAAGTTTGAGTGAGAGCCAGTGGCGTAACTACAGGGTGGCAATTCGGCAAAATGCCACGGGCCCCCAGCTGGAAGGGGCCCCCGGTCAGAGGAGACTCCTTATTCCTGACTTTATTATTACACAATTAGTAAAAAAGAATAGAATATCCGATGAATTTGCGCCGGACCTCAAACCGTATAGTTACGCCACTGGTGAGAGCTTTGGCCTATTTAGCCATCCTGAATAGCATGCAGACAAACAAGACAAAATTGTGTCAAATTTAACAATATCAATTATAATAGTACACGTTACAGCATTCAATCGAAATATTACAATTATGTCAAAACTTGAGTAAATTATTACAGTACAAGTCAATAGATTGAATTAATTAAAGTAAATAATAGAAATATTTAATTAATTCAATTGATTGATAGCTATATTAATATTATAAAAAGGAAAGACGAGCATTTATTTGTTTTGATAAAACTTCGTAAGGGCTGGTTTTGATAAAACTCCGTAAGTTGCGGTAAAAAAGCTACATTGATAGAGAAATTACATTAAAAATATTTATACCTGTTGAACATAGATAATCTTCCTTTCGGCTTTTGAATGAATGAAAAATACGCTATCTTTTGTTTTTTCGCTAATATAAACAAGTCATCTAAATATTTTGGTGATATTTGGTGAAAAGCATATTTAGTTTTGTTATAAAATCAAAACTAACAATTCGATTGTGATAAAAATATTGTATCATCTCGGGTCCTTCCGCTAATAAAAACGGAGTTTGAAAAAATAGGTGGACATAACTTACACCTTTTCGATTTTGAAATCGGTATCAATATATCGAGAAAATCATATCCTAGTACTCAGATACTAACGTAAGTTCAACATAAAATGTGAAGTTGATCGAGTAGACTTAAGGTTTCTAACTAAGTATATCGAGAGAAGTGCTGCTAGAGTTACCATACGTTCGGATAGTTTAACATAGCGGTAAAAGTAAAAAAAAAAAAATTTATTGAAGTTTATGGACATTATTGAATCTTTAGTTGATCTATCTCATCTTAATAAAATAAAAGAATAACTACTGCGAACTGAAGCATCTTACCATGTAAGAACAATACATAATCATTATACAGAGAACAGCAGAGATGATGAATAGCCCTTTATTAGTAATAAAGTTAGCCCTGCTATAAATGTTACGAGGGTTGGCAGGCATACGGCAAGCGAGATTGAATATCGGAGTATGCCAGGGTTGTTAAATCATAATAATTAGTATATTGAGTCAAAAAACTATAACACTATACATAAAACAAAAATGATAAACCATATGCAACGGATCTTGAGATGATGAATAAAATGATATGGAAATGAAATAAAATGATTGAGAAAAAGAGCAATGAAATGAATGAAAAGAAATAAAGTGACAAAGAATTAATGGGCCTGGCCTAATAATTTGAGAGTAATTAATTATAAATGTTTGTAAATATGAGTGAGGGATTTACTCTCTATTTAAAAGTGAGGCTGTTTTCATAGTTATTGTCAAGTTTATGTTATATTTAAAGCTATTGCAATTTGTACATGCAGTTTTAAATAAATCAATTGAGGAGTTGTTGTCAGTATCAACAATAAATCATAAATGAAATATACTTGTTCCTTCCTTCTAATTGCACGACTAAGTTACGTGTGATCAAATTCGATACATGTTACTTTTAAACTAATTTAAATTTGTATCGGCAAGTTTGTTCCTTTAATGTGAACGTAAATAATTATTTTGCGTGTAAATGATTTCTACCAAAGATAACTCGGTATGGTAAAGATAATTTATTGATACCGATACGAAACTTTTTGGGTTTGCGTTGGAACTCTCAAGCTTATTCATAATTTATATTAATTTAGGAAGAAACTTCGCGAACTCACTGTTGCTTAAGACATGACATTGTTTTAAAAGAACAATTTGTACCAACTGCTCTTGGTTTTAGTATAAATACTGCTGTTTATAATTGGGACAGTGTTTAGGATTACTGCATATTTATTAATGCGGATTTGTTTGGTTCGGGGTTTTTATATGCATTGTGGATGTTGTTCTTGTAATTGGATTTGGTGAAGGAAATAGTAATTATATGCGAAGTTAACGAATACTTCTTGGAAAAATACAATTGATATGTTTATATAGTATTATGATATAATCGGATGTGGTTTAAGCTATTCAGATAATTCTAAGAGAATTTTGATAAAATTACTTTACATTTAAATGGTTGATACTTGATAATTTTTTGTCACAGTCATTGTAATAAAATTTGTAATAAATTCAATCGGTTAAAATTATTTATTCAAATCAATGATTGGTCTTAAAAGATTGTTATTACATTAGGTTAGCATCACTTCTAATAATTTACCATCTTTATGAATTTTGGTGAAATTCATAAGCGATTCTGGAATTATCACCAAAAGGTACAAATAGACCCGAATCTCACTAAACACGCCCGAGATGGATATTGCGTATCAAAGTCGTATTCTTCTCGCAAAATGCGGACAAGACGTAAAGGGTACCGAAACAGATTGGATGGCCGGCAGGGAATGACGGCCAGCGTGAATTCGGCGTTACAGCCTTTAACCATGAATTTCGGCAGATTAACAACACTCAAAATTGAACCTTACTAGCAAAGAATAAAGGCGACCTTCAAACTCTTAAACAGAAGGCAAAGCATACTCCTAATTCCCAATAATCAAATATTTAGAACAATTTTTGTAGCGCAAATGGTTTTTGAAATCTTATTTTTCCGAGAATAAGCACGGATTCGATTTGAATTTTATGAATTCTGTTCCTAGAATATAAATAATGTAAAAGGCATGTTCAACGCGTAACTTTGCTTATTTATTAAATATAATTTTTATATTGACTTCGCTAGAAAGGATTAGAACGGTGACCAAAGTAAATAGTAAAGTCAAATAAAAAGATCTTTGGAATAGGGAATAGCCGTCCGTCGTTAAGTAATTTTGGACTACTTTACGAAAATTGCGTGGACAGAGGTGCATGCAATTCAGCACAGTTAAAGTTTAAACGGAGAAGACAGAGTGCTTATATTTTTTTAAATACGTATGAATACATGAAATTAATAAAATAAAGTTGCAGACACTGTCACACTGAATATCAAATAATCATAAAAATGTACTAACTAATGATAAATCACTATTCTAAAATACTCTAAAGATGTATAAAATAAAAATAGTTCAATGCGGCCCAAAGATCACTGTTATAAACACGGTAAAAAAATAAAGTAATCTCATTAAGTGTATAGTTTTTTTTTCATAGATGCTAAAATAGTATTTTAATTAATATTTGAGATATCCATGAATAAGTTTACATTTCTGAAAGGTTTTATTGGGTTTTATTAATAAAAATCTCTAATGAAGTTCCTCTATGTCAAAATAAATTATTCGTTAATCCTTAATAAAATTATTCGTTAATAAATTATTCATGAAGATAAACTTTTATTTATATCAAAGTGAAATATGATGTATTTATTTTGTTTCTTTTGAGTAATAGAAAATTAGTAATGACACAAAAGTAACAAGTGGCGTAACTATACCGTTTGAGCCTCGTGGCAAAGTCATCGGATATTCATTTATTTTTACTGATTGCGTCATAATGAATGTCAGGAGTAAGGAGTCTCCTTTGACCGGGGGCCCCTTCCAGCTGGGGGCCCGTGGCATTTTACCGACTTGCCACCATGTAGTTACGCCACTAAAAGTAATTAACCCACTAGAAGTTATTGCGTATACAAATTAAAACGTTTAACATTTGTTTGAACTACACCAATATTTGTTATAAATTTGAAAACAAGCTTTGGCGTCAGGGTAACGTTGTTATAGATAGGCATGTAATCTGAACTTAAACTGATATTAATGATCTGTGTTTATCTATCTTTGAAGATAAAATTTCAATTATTTCGTCGATTATTTTCCCGTTAGGGTTTGCTCAAAGTTCTGATTATGATAAATCGGTTAGATAGCTGCTACCATAGGAAGGTAGGTACTGAATTATCAGATTTTGTTTATTCTTGAACTGACCTCTGAGACTTCTATATATTTTTCAATGTTATGTTTTATGAGATATTATTTATATAGATAATGTACCGGAATAATGGGATGTTATGAATTCAGTTATGAACTAAATCAGTTAATTGCTATTCTATTTCTGCTCTTATAATTGCGAAGAAACTATTAAATTTATCAATTTGTTTTTCCACTGAGCATAAAAGGAAAGTTGAAAGAGAGTTACTATCTTTTCAATTCTGCAACTGTCTTAGAGTAACGGCAGAGTTTCGTAATAAATTGTCTAGCGAAATTAACTTTGGATTTGCTTTAGTGGATTCACAAGTTTCTGAAAGATGTAGTTTTTAAACGGTTTTATAAACAAAAGGATTTTTTTAATTTATTGATTATATTTTAGGCTGATAGTTGATCAGTCTGAATCCAGACGAAACGAAATCAAGTCACTCATAAAAAACCCAATATTTATTGCTAGCTCGAAGACTTCAACGCGCGTATTTACAAAATATAGACCTTTGCTCATATCCTTATTGCGTGCTTGTCCCGCCCACTACGCTTGTAACATCTTACTCAGTTCTGTGACTGCCATAGTAGGGAATCGTTACAATGGGGAGACACGTTATCGTGGGTC